GAACAATATATTTTATATTGTTCGTAGTATGAAGTTGGTATGTGTGGATTCAAAACTGCTTTTTTATTATTTTTCTGTTGCGCCGCAATATACATACAATTTCAAGCTATATGCTGACCACAAAGGTAGGTATAGAGATTATTGAAGGGATGTTTTTCGGCATGTTTTTAATGGTTTATATGTACGTTTCTGAACGATATTTAACGTGCACTTATGTTTTCGTACGGTAATTGCCCCAGGTAAAGAACCCTAATAATTTAAAAGGGTTTTGATATGCATAGGGGGATGATATTCATAAAAAAACTTTTAAAAAGATTCGATTCAAGATAAATATGTTAACGAGCCCACTTTAGGTTGAACCAGAGGAGAGTAGGTATGTTTTCCCTCGATGAGATTCTCAGTCAGATAATGTCAAAATAATGTTTTTTATTTTCGTGACGTCATTACTAACTTAACCTTTTTATGTGTCGCTCGCCTTTTTATGTCGTATTTTCTTTCGATTTTATTTTTATAGTACTTTTCAGTGATAGTCTGTTTGGGTTATTTGGATCCCAGTCAAATCTAATTAGAGAAAAAAACTTATTTTGTCTGTCTTTTAAGATAAAAAAATGTTAATACAGGGTCTGGTATTAGTGCGTCGGGCATCTGTAGCTCCTAGAATAAAAAGACTTGGGAATTTTGTTTAAGTGCAAACCTAAAGTATGTACAAGGATGTATTTCAGGAAGATATTTTAACTTCTATAGGGTGGCTCAAAAAAGTGTGAGTGGATCGCGAATATATATATTTTTTTAAATGGAACACCCTGTATACTATTGCATTTTTGGCATCTTTTCAGATCACTTTACGTAGTCCTAAAATATGAGTAAATATATTTCGATAGTTTCAGAGATAATAAAGAAATAAAATATATATATATTTTTTAGCCTTACTTAAAAAATTGTTAAAAATACAAGAACTCTCCTGAAATGAAAACTATATTAGTTATTTACTTTAGATGGTATGTACTTAACTTTACTATAAATATGGTAATCTTAAATCATACAGAATATTCAAAATTTTACACCAAACTTTCTAAAATAAAAAAAAAATCGTTGTATTTTTCAGTGGTTGTTCCATTGAAAAAAACTTGTATGTTGTATATTATTTTTTCAATAGATATATAATATATTCAAGCGATTTTATATTTCGCATGGCATTTTCCATAGTAAATTTTTATCAAAGCCACCCATTGATTTCTCTCTGTATTTTACCGTTGAGAGAGCCATATGAAATATTACTGCGTGTATTCAGTGAAACCATTAAAAGTTTGAAATACTTTAAATACAAAAATGTTCATTTTTAATTCTCCATCTAATAAAAAATAATATACAGGGTGTTCCGTTTAAAAAGCAAAGAAAAATTATTTTTAACTTAGAAAGTTTGGCGTAGAATTTTGAACATCCTGTATGGGATTTAAGATTACAATATTTATAGCAATGTTAAGTACATACCATCTAAAGTAAATACCTAATATAATTTTTGATTTCGTGCCAGTTCTTGTATTTGTAATCATTTTTTGTAATCAGGCTGAAAAATATATTTTTTATTTATTTTAATATCTCTGAAAGTATTGAAATATATTTTCTCATATTTTTAGGATTATGTAAAGTGATTTGAAAGGAAGTCAAAATGCAATAATATACAGGGTGTTCTATTTAAAAAAATCATCCCCATTCACTATCAAGTTAAAATATTTTCCTGAAATACATCCCTTGTACATACTTTAAGTTTACACTTCAACAAAATTCCCAAGTGAGTTTATTCTAGGAGCTACAGATGCCCGGCGCGCTACATTGCCGGACCCTGTATATTCTTTTTAAATTAACAAATAAACTGGCCATTGCAGAATGATTTTATTAAAAAAAGTCAGCATTGACAGAAGTCGCTTAGACTTACTTAACTTTGATGGATATTATAAAAGTTTTTACTGAGTAACTTTTGAGATAAAGCCGACTGAAACCAATGTCCAATTCATCATTCTAGTTTCTAACAGTATAAATATGCTTATTGCTTTCACATCACGCTTCCGCTCGGATTTTTTGCACTTGGTGCGGCGAAAACTTTTAAAATTTAGTCATTGTTTTCATTTCTCTTTTATGTGCAAATAGATCTGTCGAATATAAAAGGGGATAAAAACATTTCCGAGGCTAGAGTAAATATTCTATCGCAGCGCAAAAAAGATCGCTTGGGACAAGTGAAAATATTCAAGGAGACAAGTTTGGGATGGGAATGAAATATAGAAATCAGAGAAAAAAAAGGTCCGAGGATACATCAATTCAATTATTTTCTTGAATCACATGAGTTATAATAGATATTTATATATCATATATATTTCTTTTTGTGCGTCTTTGGTCTAAAAGCAGAACAGTTATTGCCTCTGTATTGATACTATTTCTCTCAATTTCTATATAAATACAACAGTTGTAGATTAGAAGATGCATGGAAAGAAGGAAATTAATCACCGCGACTGTATAGATTTATTGTGTCTGACTTTCTTGAGTTCTAACTCATCAGGTGAAAGGGACATAAGCGATTTACAAATAGGGTTCAGGCAAGAGTTAGGTAAAAGGGAAGCGATAGTTGCAACACACGTGCTTGTCCAACTGTTACGATCAGAGAAAGGATGTGTGCCTGTGTTTCATAGACTATGAAAAGGCATTCGATCGCGTGCAAAACCACAAATTAATGCAGCTACTCAAAAGGTTCATATAGACCAAAAAGACATACAATGCATCGAAAACTTGTACTGGAACCAAACAGCACAAATAAGATTGGCCAATACCATGTCCAATCCCATACAAGTTAGAAGGGGGGTGCGACAGGGTTGCGTGCTGTCTCCACTCCTATTCAATTTGTACTCAGATGCTATTTTCCAGGAGGCTCTAGAGGACGTGGAAATGGGAGTCAAAGTTAACAGAGTGTGGACTAATAACATCCGCTACGCCGACGATACGGTCTTGATTGCAGATAATATACACGATTTACAATAACTGGTCAACAAGATAGGAGAAGAGAGTAAAGCAATGGGTTTAAACACAAACATCAAGAAAACTCAATTTATAATAATATCCAGAAATCCAGATGTGTTTATAAACTTCATTATAACATTTAATACAAGGCCCATAGAGAGGGTAGATAAATTTAAGTTCTTGGGCATCTGGCTCTCCGAAGATTGGACATCAGACAAGGAAATTAAATGTCGCGTCGGACAAGCTCGGCAGGCATTCTTGAGGTTCCGAAAAGTACTTGTCTGTTCTGATTTTGACCATAACCTCAGATTAAGATTAGTAAAGTGTTAGTGTAGTCGGTGCTACTTTATGGTATGGAAGGTTGGACATTGAAAGCAGCTGCCATTAATAAACTAGCGGCTTTCGAGATGTGGCTATATCGCAGAATTCTGAAGATACCTTGGACGGCTAGGTTAAGAAATGAGGAAGTTCTGAGACGTGTCAACAAACAGCGCGAATTGTTTGAATTGATTGAGAAGAAAAAACCGCATACCTGGGGCACATAATGCGAAACCCCAAATATCAATTCTTGCATCTGTTAATCTAAGGCAAGATCGAAGGCCGGAAGGGGTATCGGAAGGAAGAAAATGTCTTGGCTGGGGAATGTTAGACAGTGGACAGGCCTACACGATGTACAGTCGTTAATAAACACCGCCAGGAATAATAGAGAAGCGATGGAAAATGTTATCGCAAACATCCATTAATGGATTCGCACTAGAAGAAGAAGAAGAACTCATCATAGTGTCTCAGGATAAAATCCAGTATCTAAGACGGTTTTATAGAAGTTAGTTCTTCATCTCCGATATCAGTCGTACAATATCTTCGATATCAGTTTACTGCACGAATGGTTGACGCCTTGGCGCACTCAGTGATGAGGTGTTCTGGTGTGTTACAGAATTTGAATTTTGAAACTTTGAGGTGATAGTCGCCTGTTAAAAACTTTGTGACAGTGATAAACCGAAAGACAAACCAAAGATTGTTCTAACCAATGAAAGAAAATCCTTGATTTTTCTCGGTCGTAAGTTCTGAGAAATTTTCTCGAGTATCTTGGACCTTTGGAGGATTCCCATTCCAGCTTACGGATTGGGCCTTTGGTTCTTTAGTTCTACATTAAGTTGGTTTTCGCTTGGGAATCAGAACGGTTCTGGTGCAGTTAGTGGAGTGTTTGCTCCTTTTCTTAATATATTCAGACTCTTTAGACATTCTTCGAATTGATGGTTATTGAGTTGATCGCTCTTAAGGCTGCTTTATTATTGGATAAGATGGCTATTTCTTGTTTCCGATAGTTCCTATCTAAGAAAGTTTGTACGCACCTTTGGATAGCGTAGATTTTTGCCTGAAGAATGCTGGGGTAAATTACACTTGTTCCTGATTTGTTTTTGGAACCATCGGTATACGTCGTTATGGTATGGTGTTTTAACTGCTGAGCAAACTTTTCTCTCTTCTTATTCTTTTTGTTGCTCAATACGGTAGGTGTTCTCAAAGTTGTTCATTCTTGGTATGTGATCATCCATTGGAAGTTGGAGGAGTAAAATTTTGAATGTGAATTGATACTTGTTTTCTTAATCTCTATATAAATGTAACAGTTCCAGATTATCCAATTTGTCGTAAAACTAAATTTGCAAACTAAATTATTTCGATTTGTTTTCTGTAGCAAAACAAGCCAAGAAAAAGAAACAAGCTTACCGGATCTGCACTTTATGGCGTTTAGCGATTAAATAAACTGTGTAACCAGATTTTACATGCCGTTTATATTCAAGAACGTAGGCAAACCTTAAACGAACCCTGCACCTTTCTTTACAAAATAAAAATATCAATTTGTCTCTTTCAGTTAGGAGTAATCCGTGCTACTTTAGGATATTATGTTTTTCTCGCGATATTCTTGCAGATGTACGTAATAGAGTATGTTGTGTGCGGAACAAATACTTAATATAAATTGGAGTTGTAGTTTGGTTGAGGAAAGGATTTACGAGCTCTGTGTTTAAGCGGTGGAGTAGGAAAAGTGATTTTGTTATTATTTTCGGTAGAATCTGGAGCTGTAAAAATTAAAATATATTAGTAAAGTCTGTTTACCAAGACAAGGGATGATATCGACAAACGACATCCATAGAGATGTGCAGATTATGCATTTTACACCCCCTCTTTTATGCGAACAAATTTTGTTATATTATGCGGCTTTTATGCGCCCAAAAATGGCTCATTATGCGGCTAAAGTTACTTATCATGCTCCTGGAAAAGTAATTTTATGTTTTTACGTAAAAAAGTGTATAAAGGTCGGTATTTTCGTTAAAGGTGTTGATAAAGATGTTGAAAATGGTTGAAAAAAATTAATTGTTGAAAATGGAATTAAAAAAAAACATTGACATTGTTATACTCGGTGTGCCAAAAAGTTCGCATCATAAAGGAATTGCTTTTAACAGTCTATTACGCTGTACTGTTCGGGTTGCTCTCAGGGGTCGGGTAAAGGAGGTGTGCGCCGGAGGAAATATATATTCTATTTCAGAAATGTTCCTAAAGTTTAGCCCGATCTTCTTGTGTTAAGCCACATCCAAAATTCCAAACACACGTGCTTGGATTAAGGCTTGATTAAGGTTTATAGAGTCACAGAATTTGCCATAAAATGGCGAGCAATTTGTTACAAAACCATATAAGTTAGCAAAAAGCAAATGACACGATGCAGCTGATAATCGCATAATTTGCTTTAAGTTGATCATTCCGTATGCGACGATAATATTCCAATAATAATTGCTGACTGTAAAGTGAATTGCAATTTAATTGCGGCAAGGAAAATTGCTGGAACTTTTCTTGCGAGCAAGTAAAATTGCGAACCGTAAAGCGGCCGTATGTGCATTGAGTGTATGCACAAAAGCCTAGCATACTTGTTAGCTTGGCTACACACGTATCCAAGCGAATAACAGCCATTATATGCGAGTAGAATACAATAATTTATCCAGGACTATCAAAAAAATTTAGATAATATTAATATAAGTTTTTATTTTGTGCGTACAATCGCATTCCAAGCCGGTTTGGATCGAGCTTGTTTGGAGTTTGTATCAAGATATCTGTGGAAGGGGTGAATAATAAATAATATTATTATTTCATAAACTCATGTATAATAATCACATATAGACGAGTCGTGGATAAAGAGAAATTATGATATTGTCTGGGGTAGGCAACGCGTTTTTGCCTACATTATATGCATGCCACTGAAACGGAAGTCATTTTTCTGAAGTCTCAGTGCTGAGTTTGACTTATATTTTAGAAAACATCGTTAAAAATTAATAATCAATACGGCCAGACACTTTCCGTCGGCACTGGATATGCTGAGGAAATTCGGTATAAGCCCACGGCCACACAAATAGCGATTTTTGCTTTTTTGCGTGTGAAGCGCTTTTGCGATTTTACCGTTTGAAGCTTTTATTTCGATTTGTATCCATTAAAAACACGCAAAAGAAGCGGCAGGTCTCCAGTTTCTATCAAGCTGTCGATTAGTAACGAAAAAGCTTTTGGAATTCCCGGCCCGTTCAACAATCAATACTTTGAGAAAGAGATAGGTGAGATCGGCGCGGTTAGGATTGCAAAGACGAAGATGAAAAATATGCTCGGATCGATCGTTAAACGGGCTGGATATTCGACGAGAAACGCAATCTACTGCTAGTGCCAGTGGTGTGTGTAAAAATAATTATTATTTGCCATTTATTTTAGGAATTTTAGTTTATTTGTGTATAAGTTTATATGTTATAGTTTTTTGGTTACTTGTGTGTAATAATTATAATACAGTAATTAAAAATTCAACGTCGCGACACGGGCTAGCGAAACAGGTGAATCAAATTATTACGTGTAAAAAAAGGATTTGTTACACGTAAAAACCTATATATACGCGTAAAAAAACTATTTTTACGGGTATAAAACTATTTGTTACCCGTAAAAACTATTTTTTACGTGTTAAAAATTTATTTGTATATTAAAAACTATTTTTTGCCTTTAAAAAGCTATTTAAAACTATTTGTTATCCGTAAAAACTATTTGTTACATGTAAAAAAAAATATTTGTTACGCGTAAAAAAACACTTTTTACGCACAAAAAATTATTTTTTAAGCGTAAAAAAATATAATTCTTTTAATTTATTACTTTTTCAACATTTCAAACAAGTCCTTCAAATCCGTAAATTTAATAGAATCTTCCTAAACAGTAAATGTTCTCTACAAAAAACATTTTTAGATAATATCCTAAAATGAAAAAAATGCATACCATTTAATTTATTTTTATTGTATTATTAAATATTACGCCCGCCTATGACGGGGTCTCATCTTCGAAATCGCTAAAGACGCTACAGAAAACAAACTGATTCGCTTTCATTTGCGTCTTTGACACGCCGAACGCTACACACTTTTGGTCGGGCCACTTCTATATAAACCTGTAATTTTGTTTTAGTCGCAAAAGACGCTTCGCGCAAAAAACGTAAAAATCGCTTTCTGTGTGGCCGTTGGCTAAACTTTTGTTATTAACTCAATAAAAAAGAAATCCTATTTGTTGCGATTTTTCTGGCACACTCTGTAGTATCTTTGAAGATAGAGTGGCTGCAACTAAAGAAGGAGCCAGGAGCGTCATTAATATAATGACGCTCCTGGCTCTGAGGATGAAATAATATTCGAAATATTATTTTACAGCGTTAGAATAAAAATATCCAAGCTCGCGATGACGCTTCTGCCTCTTCTTTAATTGCGACCACTCTACACGTTTATCTGATTTTTTTCTCAGAAACTTGCAAAACCAACTTACCAATTTTTGCAAACGATTTAACAAAAATTTCGCAATTATCACTGGCAGATACCGAATTTACAGCAACAATTTTTTTCTTCACGGGCGGTTCTCCGTCATTCTCGTGATTGGCGCTATAATTTACAGCGACCTCATCGATAATCTTTGTTAGATTATCAATAATCTGAAATCATTAATCAATAAAATATATAACTGGATCAATTGACCTAGTAAATACTTTTACCCTTCCTTGTTCTCTTTTTTCTTCAGTTTTTGACCGAGTTCGAATTTCATTATTTGTCTTCGGTTTGCTGGTCAATTGATCGGATTTTTCCAAAATGTTCAAAGCCGAAAGATACTTCTTCTTGGCCTCCATGTACAGAACGTTGCCAACTTCCGATTCAGATTCCGGCTCGCTTTTTATTTCGAATGGGGCTTCGTGCAGTGAACTTCTGGTCGAACCGCTTGGAGAGGTGTGCGTCGAAGAATGCTTCAGACTTTTCTGCGATTCGAGACTTTTCTGCAATAACGGAGATTCGTTTTTATTTTGATTCTCCTTATCTGACCCTTTGGCGAGAATGATTTCGGTCGAAACGATTTTTATTATTTTATCCATCGTTTCGGGTTTGTCTCCTTCCACTAATTTACGCTTTTTTACGTTTGGTGTTGAGGTTTTTCTCTCATCGACTTCCATGCGAATAGTTTTTTCTGATGAAGAAGCAGGTTTTTCAGGAGAATTAGAACTGTCGCTTAGAGATGAGTGTATTATGTTTATTATTTTTTCCTATAACAAATAAATAAGTTACTTTTGTATTTAAGAAAAAAAAAAGATAGTTAAAAAAACTAACAAAAACTAATTATTGACTATTTTTTATTTCACACTTTTACAGCCCTATAGCAAAATATTCAAAATTTGTTTTCAAAGTCTGCCAAATAACAAGATATATAACAGTGACAGAGTTGTCTGTTATTTTAATTCACAGGTAAATTATGATTTCTGTCAATTTTAGGATGTTTGTTGAAATCATTCAACTTGGACAGACTTTACACTGTTAATTTTTATGTTCTTTTTTTATTTTGTGTTTTATCAAACATCTTTCTTACCTTATCAATATTTATTTCAACATCTTTTAGGGGATCCTCTACTGGTTGAGCTTCTTCTACATCTTCATCGTCAATTGTAAATACAATATCATTCTCATCAGATTGTTCAGAGGCTTTCTTACTACTTTCCTTCCTTATTACTTCCTTTTCTTGCACCAATTCTAAAATATTTATAATGAGTATAATTCTGTGGTATTAAGGCAGAACCCGATATGTTAACATTATTTGTCTATTGAAATATCGGATTCTGAATTAGTACCACAGAATTAACCTAATTAATAGTAACTCTTAAAACCTAAAATTATACCATATCGGCAGGCAACAGTCTTGGATCGGTATTTACGAATACAAGATATGATATTGCGCAGGTTGGTCATTACGTCACAGGTGATAAACGGCACCATTGGTCGGCAAGCTCCGCGCGCCAATTTCAAATTGTCAAACAGATGACATAATAAATGTGAAAATAATTTTTCAAATGTCAAGCTGCATGATTTGACATAACTTTTGGGGTTATGTCCTAATTCTTCCCTATTTTAGGTCTTTTTTTATTAGTGGCAATTGAACAATATGGATATTTTTTGTCTGGCGCATGACGTCACAGGTGGTATGCGCAAACTTAACGAAATTTGAGCCGCTATCGATCATACCTTGTTTTCTTTGTACCATGGTATTTACGTGTCTAGGAGTGGCGATCTTGTAAGTCGGAGAAAGAAAAATACAAAGTGTTTATTACATAACGCATACATTATGTAATACGACGCTATATTTCATGCACTTTAGAAAACCCTGCTTTTCTTTCTTTGCTCAGTACATCGTATTGCACTGGGCGTGTGGACTGTACTTTTCGTACACACGAAAATCGGCACTCAAAGCCAGACATTGCCGACTCTGTATATGTATGTTAAAAAATTGGCGCCGGGAGGCACGTATAGCCACCCATACTAAAATATGTTAATAAAAAGTTGGCAGGCAGTTCTTCTAGTTTCAAAGTAAAGGAATTTTTCCAATTTTTTTTATCTCAAAAACTGCGACTTTGACTGATTTTGATGTGATTACACATTTTGTTGCAAATATTATTCCTAATCTTAAATTGAAAACTGTGTTTCGCTAGCTACTGTAATTTTGGAGTTACGACTTTTTAAAAATTTTAACCCCCTCCCATACTCCCTTGCCAATCCCCACCCCCACCAAAAACTAATGGCTAGATTCTCGGGTGCCACAGCATTTTTGTGCCAAATTTGGGTAAAATCGGTTTAGTGGTTTTTGAGTGATCGTGTTACAGACAGACGGACAGACAGACACCATGAAAATATTTTGTATTTAGGTCATTTATGGCCCAAATAACTCATTTTGAGTGAATTTATTTTTTTTGCCGATCTTAATAGCCTACCATACTTGTTGATATGGTCGGCTAAAAAGTACGAAAAAACAGTGCATAATCAATATAACAAATTTTCGATATAAATCGAAAATATTCTACCATATAATCGATAGCAAATAAACTTTTAGTAACGTCATCAAGCTGTGCCGGTCAAGCTTAATCACGTCACTAAAATTTATTTTGTATAATCTATACATGATTCTTAATATAAAGATCTGGTCATCTTAAATCGTTATTCAGGATTTCAACGTGTAGATAACGTGTAGATTAATGTAAATTTAAACTTGTTAAAAATAGATAAAAGTGGAGCTGATACATTCTTCAGTGTGATATTGCCGAATTTTCCATTAAAAAACACATAAACATTTCAACACAGTCGGTTTCAACCGACGCGACAGTCAAAGAATCAACTTCAGTACATCTTATTCTACTAAGCCAATAGAAATTGACATACTGAACAAAGAAAAAAGGGCAAGTATTTTCCCAAGCATATGAAATATAGCTTCGGAGTATGTAATTGGTTATGTAATAAACACTCTGCACTTTTTTCTATCTGACTTACAAGATTGCCATAACAATTCACTCCTAGACATGTACACGCCGACCTAAGGGCACAAACATAGTGAGGCATCTCGATGCGATGCTCGCCAAGATGCTGGCCGCGCTGCTCGCCAGGATGCTAGCCGCGATGCATCCTACGCGCACTGTTTTAAAACGGCGAGTAAGTACGCGTAGGATGCATCGCGACTATCGTACAAACATAGTGCGGGGCATTTCATTTCGATGCGATGCGCGCCATTCACCTCGCCATCCGGCGATGCTGAATCAAACATGTACAAATTTAACAAAAAAACATACTGGAGCCTCGCACCTCGCCATGCACCTAGATGTTCAGAGCGATGCTTCCTAGGAAACAAGATTTTTGTTTTTTGCGAGAAGCGGACGCGGATGCCTGAAACTTTACATTTGATTGGTCGGTTTAGGATCACAATTCGTTGAGCATATGTCGAACTAGAGTCGGGTGGAATAAAATGTTCACAATACTAATATTTAATTTATCACCAACAATGTAATAACCTTGATTCTACAGGGTTCAGCAATAGTGCGTCGGGCATCTGCAGTTCTAATAATAAAAAAACTTTGTATTTTGTAGTCCAAACATAAAGTATGTATTAGGATGAGGAAAATATTTGAACTGCTAAAGGGTGACTCAAACAAGTGTGAGTGGATCGCGAATATTTTTTAAATGGAACACCTATATACGGGGTGGCGCAACTCATTCGCCTCGGTTGATTATACGAAAACGGAAATATGTAGAAACAAAATATTTTATGGGCATATGTGGGAAGACCATGTGCATAATTTAAAATTATTTTGAAATGTACAGGGTATGTCAGAACTAAGATTTACACCAAAATTATATTTTTTCTTATGGAACACCCGGTATTTTATTTCATATTTGGATCCTTGGACACAAAATAAGGCATGTATTATAAGGGTTATTATATATTAATATGTTTACAAGCTTTGGTTTTTAAGATATTTAAAGATATTTAAATATGCATGCTACAATGGAATAGATTATCAACACCCTGCACATTACTTTTTAGAATTAATTCTTGTGCTGAGTTTAAAGATAGAGAAATAAACTTTACTGAAAAATTGTATTGCTGACTTAAATTTATACAGGGGTACCAAAAATTGATGATTTATTTTAAATATCTATTTCACATAAAAACCTTGTTATTTCAAATACGACAACCTGTATTTTTTTAAATAAATCGAAAGAGATACAAATGCTCTTTCAAACTATTATTAGGGTATCCTATACCTATCTAGCTCAGATTTTGAATAAAGAGCAATTTTTCAATAAAATGGCAACAAAGAGGGCTGATGTCGTCATGGCAAGTTTCTAGTGACAGTAGCTATTTTCAAAATCGAAAATTAGTTTATGGACTCTTTGTTTATTTATTTATAGCAAGTACTTTAATCACTAGTTGATTAAAAAAAGTATACCATTAATATTGCAAATTATATTTTATCCTCTCATAGTATATGTCTACTAAAATACTTATATATTATAACAAAACCAGGATTTCAATATTATTCTATGCGATCAACATGACGGCGACGTGAAATAGATGGGACAATTTCTGATTTTTGCCATTGACTCGCTGCGGTAGGAATTTGTTGAAATCAACTGAAATGCACTAAGCCTATACTAATTAATAACTACTATTACATAAACTGGTGCTTAATAAAACGGCGATGGTAAATGTTTCAGTATGCCTCCGCGCACCTATTCGCCGTTTTAAAACCGTGCGCGTAGGATGCATCGCGGCTAGCATCTTGGCGAGCATCGCATCGAGATGCCTCACTATGTTTGTGCCCTAAGACTGTATCTAACCGATATTGTATTAACCATTAATTTATCATTTTGCTACAGTTACCTTATATAAGATTGTTACATTATAATGGTACGCCCCATTAATTCGTTTTTTGCTTTTTATCTCTTTTTTTCACATTTTTTCACATATAGGAACCGACAACTCTGCATGTTTTTGTGCCTCTGTCTATCAATTGATTATAACTTAAGTAAGGTATATTTTTATACAGACACCTAGGCATTCTGATGTCGCTTATGAGTATGAGCATATACCGGTATACACAACAGAAGACGTCACTAAAGAACGAGATTCTAGCGTACCTAATACGACGCCACAGGTAATTACTCTGACTTTGAAACATTTTGATTAATAAAAAATATTAAAAAATATGGGGAACAAAATTGTATGAAAAATACCAGATTCTTAAACATTAGCATTAAATTAGGGCTAGTTGGGGTAATGGTAAACGATTTTAACAAGGTATAACGTTGAAACTTTGACGTTTGCACTGAAAATTCTAAAAGTGTATATTTTAAGACACTTTATTTAATAGGTGCTTTGATCGACGGCTAGAAATTTAAATAGGTTCCAAAAAAAAAACTTGTTTACATTTACCCCATAGAAAAATCAATTTATCAATCAAATATTGTCCTATTTTGGGGTAAATGTAAACATATTTTTTAAATGGGGTAATAATATATAAGACAAATTATTTATCACTGTTTCATCAAAAGTGTACAAAAAATACTAAGATGTTTCAAAAACATCTATCTTTCCAGAAAACGAATATATTATCCTCCTTCCTACAAACCTAACCAATGTATTTTTATCGTTTCTCTTTTTTTGGTCTTTTTCATATCTGCCTTGGAGCTTATCAGTGTCAAAACGTGTTTACTATTACCCCAAAATCAAGTTTACAATTGCCCCTCAATCCTATTTTACTGGGGCACTTCTAAACACATCTATACTTCATTTCCCGTAAAAGTTAAACTCAAATTGTAACATGCATTTTACTAATACAACACTAAATGGAAACCAGTGAGTCAATACACATCAAAGATGTGGGCGCCACTGTAGCCAGTCGACTTCTTCTCTTCCGCCAAATTCAAAAGTTACTGGACCTGTTTACAATTGCCCCAACTAGCCCTACTTCTAAATATACTAAATACAGCTATTAATTTAATCCTTACCTGGGGAATTGCTTTTCTTTTTAGGATCAGACGAGGATTCACTGAGACTTTTATCAGATAAAACAACTGAATCATTTGATGTAGCACTCTCTTTAGATAAATTCTGAGAATCAACAGCTTTGTGCGAAGATAAAACATCATTAGACTTCAATTTTGATATCACACTAAGCGGTGTATTTTCATCTGCACTGTTCTCATCCGAACTTTGATCATTATCCTCGTCCTGATCATTTATTTCCATATTACTGACATCTGATTTATCAAGTTCATGCGAATCAGCCGATGACGTTTTAGTTTCGGTACTTGAAGTTGAAACTAAAGCTGTTTCCTTTTCTTTGGTCACTTCAGTTACTTCTCCAGTATCTGATTCATTGACTTCGTCTTCATGAATGTATTCTATGTGCGATTCATTGGTTGAACTGACTGGATCAAAGGTATCTGATGATAGTTCTGAATCTACCGATGGTTCAGCTGGCTGCACTATTTCTTTTAACTTCTCGATCAGTTTTGTAGTGTGTGCTGATTTATCACTATTTAAATCTCGTTTGACGTTTTGTAAACTTTCTGAATTAGCGTTACTGGTACTAGGACTATCCTTGGAAGTATTGTCTTTATCTGATAGACGCCCTATAAGCTTATCAGACATTTTAAGTTTGCTAGCTGGAGAAATCGTAAATTCAACATTATCGACATCAACTTGCACAGGTTTTTTCTTTATTTCTACTCCGAAATCGCTAGAACATTCGCTGCTATTTGATGAAATGTTTTCTGAATATCCGACACTTCCTTTTTCATTGCCGAGACTAATTTCCATATTCTCTGAGATATCAACATGATTAATCTTATCTGAAAGTCTGGCAGAATCACTCTTGGCATCGCTATCTCTACGCAATGATTTCTTAGACTGAGCATCATCATCTACTTTTTTACTCGGTTTTGTAGTAGTGTCATTTGACTCAGTTAATATCGAAGAGCTATTTAGATCCTCATTCTTTCTATCTGCTAAAATGTTAGTAATTTAAAAAAAAACCTTTAAAACTATTAGAAATAATAATTACCTGGAAAGCTTTTTAATGCACCCTTTGTGAGTACAATTTCATTTAAACCATTTTTATCTGGTTCAATATTGCTTGGTACCTGGGTATCATCATCATCATCACCTTCAAGTTTTTCATCTTCTTCAGAGGATTTCATGAATTTTTTTCTCAATTCCGTATTAATTTCTGGAATTTCATCATCATCAGTACCTGAAAATAAGCCATTAACAAATAACATTTATTTTAAAAAGTTTTCGATACCCTTACCATATCCTGCAATTATTTCATCATCATTATGTATTATCTTTTCTTTATTTTCTTTTGGTTCTTCTTTACTTTCATTTTTTGATGAGTCCTTCTCTTGTTTTGCACTATCAATCTTAGTTTTATCTGCAAATTGTTTTTTAGGGGTTTTAACATTTTTAGTATTTGGTTTGTATTGGGGCAAAAACACTTGTAACTGTTTCGCTTCATTGTTAGGATCCACTGGAGTTTTGAATGGGGGATATCTAAATTCTCCAAATTCTTTCTTCAAATTTATAACGTGGACATTTAATTCCTAAAAAAAATATTAACTGCACTATACCGAGTGTTTCTCAAAAGTGGTTCACCCTAAACTTTTTTATTTTTTACAGAGAAAAAAAAAACAGATTTGGTGTGTTAGTATATGACGTAAATTAGAATTGGTTGACATATTCAGTTGATTCCAGTCACTTCCTGTTTCACTGGAAATGACTGCAACTTTTGATTTTTAAATGACACCCCCTGAATTTTTTTGCCTCATTTGATAGAAAATGACATATTATAAGTGAACTTTTGACATTTTTAATTAAAAAACATTTTAAATTTCATTTTAGGGTGCCATGATCATAAATTTAATGACAATTTGACTCGAAATACCAAGCTTGAAAAAGATTTGAAAAAACTGAGATATGATTAATATACGATTTGGGTATGTTTTAACCTTTGAATAAGTAGACTAAGGAAGAGGAGCTTAATGCTATCGATGTATTCATGCATGGTGGGCGGAAAAAGCACTCTAGGGTGGAGATCCTTGACAGTTCTGTTTGACGATTCATTTCACACATTTGAATTTGATTTGAAATTTTGTGGATTTGTCAGTCTTTACGGAGCTTATTTTATGTTATTTATTATTTATTCTACTACTGATAGTTGTATAAAGGTAGTATATCTAGATAATTATATATTTTTATAACAATTTTAATAACTACCAACATTTATTCACAACGTAAAATAAAACAACAAATTATTGAGTCTACCCCACGTCTACCCTACACATCATAGTTTTACATTTTTTAAATAAAATTAGAACGACACAGATAAACCGGAATTTAAGTCGGCCATATTTGAGGCCCATCGCGGTGTACCTAAGATTTTTGATATGCTCCTTCCTTAGTCTTCTTATTCAAAGGTTTTAATCGCCCAGGACAAGACATGTAAAACAGACAATAAGATCTATTTGGCCATGGCTCCTTGATTAGAAATTAGTATTTTTGACACACAGGCAAATTAGTATTTTTAGAGCACTCTCAATCGAAACTTAAAATACGATTTTTTTAAAGCAAAATTATCAAAAGTTGACATGTGATATGTCCTTCTATTCAGAGTGTTATTTTCTAACAAAGTAAAAAAAAATACTGTTACGTTATTTAAAAATCAAAAGTTGTTGGTTGGACCGAAAACTATGGAATACGTTAAGCAATCCTAATTTATGTCATATACTAACATATAAAATCTAGTTTTTTTATCTGAAAAAATAAAAAAGTTATACGGGTGAGCCACTTTTGAGACGCAACCGGTATACATTCGATATTCTCTGTATATCTTTATATAGCGCAATGAAAGTATCTTTATCTATGTTAAAAGATTGGATAGAAGATCTCAAATAAATAAAAACCTCTGTATTCACGAGATCTTTAGTATAAATAATAATATTTTTTTTTTGTTTTCACTCTTGGCTTTAGGTCGTTGGGGTTGCAAAGATGTTTCTAGATTTTGTTCATTATTTTTTTATTTTGTGACGACGTTTCGACAGTATATGTCTTTTTCAAGCCTCTTGAACGGAGATTCTTACAGAGTTAAAATTTGTTAAACTGGACAACACAATAACACATATTAACTATTGTTTTTAATTGTTTTTGGACATTACACTTTACTATAGATCACGTACGTATTTCCTTGCAGATCGCTCTGTATAAAACACATTTATCGTTTCAATACCCGATGTCTTTGAATGAGACTTTGAATAGACATCAGGTATTGAAACGATAAATGTGTTTTATACAGAGCGATCTGCAAGGAAATACGTACGTGCTCTATAGTAAAGTGTAATGTCCAAAAACAATAGTTAATATGTGTTATTGTGTTGTCCAGTTTAACAAATTTTAACTCTGTAAGAATCTACGTTCAAGAGGCTTGAAAAGGACATATACTGTCGAAACGTCGTCACAAAATAAAAAAATAATGAACAAAATCTAGAAACATCTTTGCAACCCCAACGACCTAAAGCCAAGAGTGAAAACAAAAAAATATATAGTATACAGGTCAAAGAAACGAAACCAAAAATAATAATAATATTTACCTCCACACATTCTTCAATATCAGCCCTCTTGACGCGAAAACTGTTAGGGTCTTTGGGGGAATACAAAAAGCATTCCTTTTCAGGTACCCAAGCTCTATCATGAGCCCCAAAAAATCGTACATCGACCATTCCATCCTTACAACTCATAGCCTTTCCTGGCCAAAACGGAAATCCTGTACGCAAAACATTAAAACAATTAGTAAGTTCAACAAAGCAACAACAATACTGCTAGAGCAAATTACCTCTTAATTTTGCCCAAACTAATAAATGAGGCTTGGGACACACTTCTACAAACCAGGTGTTCTTTTTTGTGTTTGCATTTAGATAGCAAGTCGGACAATTTTCAATTTCAGCCATTTCCTGTTTGCAAATTTTAATGATACCCTTAGCAACAGTGGTTAGCTTGGAGTGATCTAAAAGTAATATCACTTACTAGGTACCACTATACAGGGTCCGGCAATAGTGTGTCGGGCATCTGTAGCTACTATAATAAACAACTTAGGAATTTTGTATAAGTGCAAACCTAAAGTATGTATTAGGATATATTTCAGAAAAAAATTCCTTGGCACACCCTGTCGATTTTGTCAAAAACCGAAATATTTCAGATCGCAACTAAAATATTCTTACTGACAGCTCATTTTACGTAGAATTGACTGTCGCAAACCGTTTTTCGATATCTGTAACAGATCTTGAGTTATTTGAGAAAATCTCCAAAAGAAATTTTTTTTTCAGTTTTCCGAAATATTTAACTACGAATATCTCTAGAACACGTCTCTGGACAGATATTATTAAAATGTTTTGATAATGTCAGAAATATTAATAAATAAAAAAAAATATATTTTTCCAGCCTTTCTTAAAAAAATTATTAATACAAGAAATGTCCGGAAATGAAAACTGTACTAGTTATTTACTATAGTTGGTCTGCAAACCAATACAAATACTTACTTAAACCCACCCAGGGCGTTCAAAATTCTATGCCTAACTTTCTAAAATATAAAATATTTTTTTTTCGATTTTTAAATAGAACACCTTGTATATTATTTCTTTATCAGTTAGAAAATTAAAAAATAAACATTTTTTGTATTTAAAGTATTATAAAATTTTTAGCGGTTTTCCAAATATTTGCGTTTTTATTACATATGGCGCTTTAAAAGGTAAAATACCCGACAAAAATCATTAGGTGGCATTGCTAAAAATTACTGTTGAAAACCCCATATCTAATATATTAAATATCCACAAAATCGATAAAAATTTAAAATATTTTCATTTTTTAACTCTCCAATGGGATAATATACAGGGTGTTAAATTAAAAAAAAACTATTACAAATTAACTATTATAAGCTAACTATATAGAAAGTTTGGCTTGGTTTGGTTTGGAAAGTTTGGCACAGAATTTCGGACACCTTATATGGTATAAGATTACGATATTTATAGGAAAGTAAGTACAGATCAACTATAGTAAATACCTAGTATAGTTTTTATTTCAGAAAATTTCTTGGATTTTTAATATTTTTTTTAGAAAAGGCTGAAAAACTATATTTTTTATTTAATTATCAATATCTTTGGAACTATTAAAACATTTAATATTTTAGGAATACGTAAAATGATCAGAAAGAAAGCCAAAAATGTAATAATATACAGATTGTTCTATTTAAAACAAATCATCCCGATCCACTCACACTTTTTTGAGCCACCCTGTAAAAGTTAAAATATTTTCGGGTCAACTTTCGTTTAGCTGAAATCAGTTATTAGAAAAAAAAATTGTCTTTAAAAAGCTACTGTGAACCACAGAAAACACAAATTTTCCTGCGGAAATGTGTAATTTCCAAATTTCGCACTTTAGAATAACAGAAATCTGCTATAAAAAAATAAATTTTGCGTTTTATTTTTAATATTTTTCTGAACATATAAACACAAAAATTTTCCTGCGGAAATAAGCTGTTTTCATTTTCTAATGAAATTGGGCAACTATTAGAATAGCTGAAATCAGTTATATAAAAAAATAATTATAATTTTGCCTTTTAGAAGCATTCACGAATTGAGGAAAATATAAAAATTTGGCGGAAATAGACTGTATCCATTTTCTGAGGAAATGTAATAGACTTTAGAATAGCTGAAATCAGTTATATAAAAAATAAATATATTTTTGCCTTTTAGAAGCGTTTACAAACTCAGGAAAATAAAAAATTTCCTGCGGAAATGCTTGATTTTCATTTTCCATTTTTGTAAGCATAAATACATAACAAATTATCTTTTTATCACTTTTGGACCAAAAAAAATCATTCAAAAGTGTCTAAAATGCTAACTAATCTAATAATAAATCTAATAATATTTTTTACAAAATCACAGTTAATTATTAAAATATAAAAACCACAGCTTAACACCCTCCACAAAGAAAAACTAACCAAAGCAACCCAAATGCTAACCAATCTAATATTTTTGCAAAATCACAGTTAATTATTAAAATATAAAAGAAAACTGCATGATCCAATCATTTTTTGTTTTGAATTATCACAGCTTAACACCCTCCACAAAGAAAAGCTAACCAAAGCAACCCAAATGCTAACCAATCTAATATTTTTGCAAAACTACAGTTAATTATTAAAATATAAATAAAAACTGCATGATCCAATGGTTTTTTGTTTTGAATCAGCCCTATTTAAGTAAAGCTTTAATAACAAACAAGAATAGGTGCAACATTTAGAGGTACTTATAGTTTATAAGAACCTATATTATCTATTCTACAAGAATTGTTATTCCTCCGAAAGATGTTTTACCCCACCCTCCCCTATTCGCTCACGGGTAAGCTTCTAAACTGAAAAATGTATGAAAAACAAAGTACACAAAATGACATTGATACATTTCCGCAGGAATTTTTTTGTATTTCTTTGCTCGTAAAGGCTCGTATAAAACAAATATAAGTTCATTTTCCATGTAACGATTTCGGCTATTCTAAAGTCAATGCATTTTTTATGTAAAATAAAAATAAAAAAATTCCGCAGACACTTTTTTGTGTTTTTATGTTTAGAAAAATGTCTAAAACACACCCCCAAGACTAGTTTTGATGTAACAGATTTCGGCTATACTAAAGTCCGAAAAATGAAAATGACGCATTTCTGCAGGAAAATTTTTGTATATTTGTACTCCTAACACCTTCTAGAATGCATATATAAAGTCATTTTTTATATAACAGATTTCAGCTAAACGAAAGGTTGAGCCATATTTTCCTGAAATACATATTAATACATTCTTTAGGTCTGCGCTTAAACAAAATTCCTAAGTTTTTTATTATAAGAGCTACAGACGCCCGACGCACTATTACCGGACACTGCATATCAACCTATACTATTGATTAGGTTTTAAAACAGATTAATAAAATTACAGTGTTTATTAGATTTCGAGATTTCAAAAATAAAATCATAATGGAAAGTTCACTTCCACTTTTACACGAATAATTTAAAAAATAGAACATACATTTTTTCCCCTGAAAGCTGTTGTCCTCTGATTTTAATGACATTTCCATATCTAAGCAGCACATAAAATACAGAAAATATATCTCAAAATAAGTAAACACTCTGTGCTCAATTGCTCAAACTTTAACTAAGCTTTCCTTAACATTTAATGATTCTTAAAACATAATTATCTGTTAAACTAACAAAGATGTTTAAAATCATTATTTATAATTATTATACTTTGTTTTAAGTTTGATGCCTAGCCTAATCTTTGCATTAAGGATAGTATTAACAAAAAAAACCGTCAAGATGGCTTGGAAATGACAATCAATTACAATTTTACATATAAAAGACAGCAATTTTCATTTTCAAGCTAACTCTGACATTGTTTTTTTACTGTAAGGTATAATATCGCTTGTATGCAAAAAAAAGTTAATTGAAAATAACTATTAAACTAACATGTTGATAACAAATTGGTTATAGGTGTAGTTTTAAAATGCACAATACTTTTGTGTTACAACTCACAACATATTATGAGACACAATGTGAAATTGAAGGAATATTCAAACGACACAGTTCACTAAAGTTAAGAGAAACTTAGTCAAAATCTGGTGCAATAGAGTATAAAAAAAATATAATCTAATAAAATTAAGTGTATATTAGATTATAAATTTCCTTAAGTTAAAAATAATTTTCTGTGTTGCCATGATTTTTCATATTTAAAATCATGGGACATACAAATTTATATTAATCTAAACAATATTCAGGTTTACTCAAGTAGAACTCTGAGAAAATGTGGCGTTAAACATGCGTTATAAAAATTTACAGCCTGATAACATATGAGTATTACAAAATAGGACTAATCTGACGATCTTATAAATACATTATTGAATTAAGATAATATACTTACATGAATTAAAAATGATGCTGTTATGTAGAATCCACTTGGCATCTGCCTCGAAAGCCTGGGTACTACCATATAAATTTTCCTTAATATTCTTTCTAATCAGAGTTAAATCCATGGGTTGTATTATATATTTTCTATATTCTGGAAAATCTGCTTCATTTACTGCATTTATAAATGGCTCCGACTGTAAGAACTAATGTAATAACTAGTCGTTTTATTTATTTGCAAGTAACTTACCCCTTGACATTGAGTCATACGATTAACAGCAAATTTTAGTAGACTACAAAGGTGTTCTAAAGTCATGCCTTTTAGAGCAGGCGATCTACAAATTATAAGAATAATTTCACATAAAGTGTAAGTACTTTTACTTAATATTTACCGTGTATGTGTACTTTCTGCTTTCAATATTGAGACACATTCCGGACAAGGCCAGTGATCCTGGTTATTTATAGTTTGTTTTAAACATTTTTGATGATAGCTTCGTGGACAGGTTTCACAAGCTATATTGACATTATCCTTATGACATCTCCAACAGAACATATCCTTGTTAGGCTAAAAGTATCAAATAAACATATTTATTAATAGGAAATGTAAATAAAAAACCTCACCTTAAACATGGTGACATCACTTATCAATAATTTTCTATTCTTCTTAGCAGATTCTTCAGCAGCGCCATCTCCTGAAGCATCTGACAAACTACCTTTCTTTCTTTTGGCTGCTTTAAAAGATGGACTTCCCAAGAAATTATCACTCTTGTTCTCCAATTGCGGATCTTCTGTATGTTGAATCTCCATTTCTAATTCACTTTCGGCTGTTACGGGGTACTGAATTTTTGCACCTTTATTAGGGCTTCCTCGATTTTCAGTCTTTCTTCTTACTCCCAAAGACTTTCTCTTTCTTGATAAGTTAGTATCCAAATTGGCTTCTTTAGAGAGGGCCAGCAATAGTTTTAACTCTCTTGATTGTGCCGAAGCATCATCATGGTCTGACTTTGAAGAAGCTTCATTGCTCTCATTTGTCACTTTATTTATTTTTTCTTTAGGTTCTTGATTCTCGTTCGCGTTTGAAATAGAAGGCTGCGTATTATCGTCAACTGAATCAGTTTTAGATGAGACAGAAATATGACATTTTGTGTCAGACACTTGGTTTGAGTTATCATTTGCATTTTCACTTGACACTAAAATAGCAGATGCAGTACTTACAGGTTCAGCTATATCCTCTTTATTTCGTTCAATTAGAATAGGCCCTTTTGATGTGCCGCCATTCTGGTTATCGTCTTGCGACGACATTCTCAATGTCCTACAGTTCTTTGACCTAGGTTAAATAATTTACATTATCTCTGTCGCTGTACTTACTTATTTAATATGAAATAATAAATTTTAAACTATAGTACCTGGTATATGCACTAAACTTAAGGAAAACGTATATAATTTATCACCATCACAAGAAACGAATCAGCACAATTGCAGGCATATGAGAACTCTAGCGGCAAAAAATCGTATTCAAAGACCTAACCTCTGTCTGCCTAAAAGCAATAAGTGGGCGGAGCTAAAATTCTAGGAAAATATTTTTTTTAATATCCACCAATAGGTGCCATACAGTACTATTGAACAGATAATGAAAAATTGATTAGCTCAAAAACTTAGTCTAGCAATAGAATACAATATTATTAATTCGTACAATATTTGTTAATTTAAATGAGGAAATTAAATATGAATTATTTTTAATACTCCTGCTAGATGTCGCCACAATAGAAAATCAAAAGCAGTATTGCCATTTCGTAATCCTATTGGACGCTCCTGGATTGGCCCTCGATATCGTGCGATGAGTGTAATTTTGTTTATTTTTCTATTAGAGGGTATGCAACTAGTAAAGTATAAGAGCTCGTTTACTGTTTAAAGCGTGGACTAGACGCAACGACATCGTACGATTTGCTAGCGTCGATTTTTATTCTTAATTTAAGGCGTCGACAAAGTGCTGGAGGCAGGTTGCAGGTAAAACGTAGCGCTTGGACAGCAAATTTTGGTTTGAACAGTTCTAAAATTTGGACAAATTTTAGAACTGCATAATTCCGGAAGACCGTGTTAAAAGTTTGAGCTCCTGAGCACATATTTCGGCGGTTTGCACAGAACGTAGCGTGTGAACGCTTACAACAATTTTGAATCAATTACAACGTGAAATCAAAACTATATTAGGTATTTACTTTAGATAAGTCGCTATACTTACTTTGCTATAAATATCGTATCGTAATCTTAAATCATACAGGATGTTCAAATTTCTACGCCAAACTTTCTAAAATATGAAATAATTTTTCTGTTTTTTTTCAAATGTGTATTATTTTTTTATTAGATGTAGAATTAAAAAATGAACATTTTTTGTACTTTAAGTATTTCAAAATTTTTAATGGATTCGCAGATACTCGAGATATTAGCTTTTTTCGGGTTCCTGTTAATACCGATTCTGAACCGTCCTAGAACTCTGTAGCGCATGCGCAAATGAAATAATGTCTTCATATTTCCTTCTGCGCATACGCATCACAGTTCTAGGACGATTCAGAATCGGTAATAAGAGAAACCCGAATTAAGCTAATAGGTAGCTTTGTTCGTTTTCTTGTCAACGGTAAAATACGAGAGAAAAATCATTGGGTGGCTTTGATAAAAATTTACTGTGGAAAATGCCATCTGAAATATAAAACCGTGAATATCTGCGAAACCGTTAAACATCTTGAAATAGTTTAAATATAAAAAATGTTCATTTTTTAATTCTACATCTATTAAAAAAATAATATACAGGGTGTTCTATTTGAAAAAAACGAAGAAAAATTATTTTATATTTTAGAAAGTTTGGCGTAGAATTTGGAGCATCCTGGTATGATTTACGATTACCATATTTATGTGGTAAGTGCAGACCATCTAAAGTAAATACCTATAATATAGTTTTGATATCCCTGACAGTTCTTGTATTTTTAATATTTTTTTTAAGAAAGGCATATATATTTTTTATTAATATCTCTGAAATTATCGAAATATATTTACTCATATTTTAGGATTTTGTAAAGTGATCTGAAAGGAAGCCAAAAATGCAATAATATATAGGGTGTTCTAAATATTTAAAAAAAAAATCCCGATCCACTGAAACTTTTTTGAGCCAACTTCTGTAGGAAGTTAAAATATTTTCCTGAAATACATCCTAGAACATATTTTAGGTTTGCACTTAAACGAAATTCACAAGTTTTTTATTCTAGGAGCTACAGATGCCCGACGCACTATTGCCGAACCCTGTATGTATTTTTGTTATATATTTATACAGGGTGAGTCCTAAATAAGTGCAAATATTTTTAGAGATGGTATATTTTGATCCCAAAAATGTTTTTTTCGTGATCCCACCAAAATAACCAACAAAGAGGTTTCTATAAACAAAGCATCACCTTCCAGCTTCCAGCTGCCGATACCGAGGAGTTGGAAACGGCGCCACACTTTTTGGACAACGTGGGAAAACCTGAATATAATCAAAATACTTTTCTGCTTTGTGTTAGAAGTTAGCTGAAATATCTGATGCGGTATATAAAGAGTGGTCGCTCCAGAGATATAGAGACTCAGGTCTATATTTCTTTCTCTTTATTCGCGAGTCCGGCGATATCAGTTTTTAATTATTGATTAAATGGTGAAGGAGATATTGATTAAATAAATTAGAGTCAGTATACAATAAATTACTTAAGCGTTTACAGTTGTTACCAAAATTTAAGAAAAATTACATTATATTATATTTTTTAAATTTTTAATTAAAAATAATAATTGACTTAATTGAAAAGACCAAGAGGAAGTACAGGGTGGGTCAAGATTGGAAGCTTTTAAAGGGGAACACTCTTTTCTATAGGAGATAGACGAAAACTAATATCGCTGTCTGGAGCTCAATTTTTATCAAAAACATGGTGGTGAAAATCACACGTCATTATCTGTTACTGTTTATGAGTTACGGGGTGTTTTTCAAAAACGTGCATTTTTAACAAATCGCTGTAACTTATTTGTTATGGAAAATTTTGTATTTTTATGGAAACATTTCCAAAGTACCTTTTTACGTAGAATTTAATGGTTTAAGTATAATTTTTTTAAAATTAATAATTTAAGAATTATCAACTGAAAATTTGATTTTTTATATAGAACACCCTGTATATTTTTAATTCGTTAAAAATAATTTAAAATTACCATTCCAAAAATATAACATACTTGATATTTTGCTCTATTTCTCTTCGAGATATAGAGTTTTTAAAAATTCGTCCACTTTGAATAAGTAGGCTTTGAACCGCGCCGGCTGTAATGCAAAAAAATTGTGGCTATGAGCAGCAATTAAAACAAAAATAATATTTGCAATGAGAGATTTCGAATTTTATAACAATTTAAACTATATTGAACAACATCAACACATTTAAACTATATCTAAAAACAATAAAAATTAATAGCAAACCAAGACAGAGATTTTGCTACAGGTGTTAGACATGTCGACCGTCTTTTGTTATGAACAGACGGGACCGTTTTTGAACATTTCTCGCGGAATTTATAACTCAATGGGGGTGAAAGATACCCTCGCATAACCGCTAAGCAGCTGTAATTCTTGTCTAGATTATATAGGCAATTTAAAAATAACAACCTTTATTCTTTCGCAAAGATAAAAATCCTTAGGCACTGCGTCCGGCAGCCTCGACGGCCAACGGCTGGGATCTTGGTTAGCTAATCAATTATTGTCGAAATTGGCTGCAAAAGTTAGCTGATAAATTCAGCGTTCTGAGGCGGTGCCTCGTCTTGCTGGAAAAATATGTTTTCGAGTTCCATCCGAGGGGCTGATCATCAATAAGGGGTCCAAAGCCTACTAGTTAAAAGTAGCGAACTTTTAAAAATTCTGTATTTCGAAGGGGATTATAACAAAATATCAAGTGTGCTATATTTTTGGAAAAGTAATTTTAAGTTCTTTTCATTTAATTAAAAATATACAGGGCGTCTTAAATAAAAAATCAATTTCTCTGTTGATAACTCTTAAATTATTAATTTAAAAAAAATTATACTTAAACCATTAAATTGTACGTAAAAAGGTGCCTTTGAAATGTTTGTATAAAAATTGAAAATTTTCCATAGCAAAAAAGTTATAGCGATTTCGCACATTTTTGAAAAACACCCCGTAACTCCGAAACGGTAACAGATATCGATGTGCGGTTTTCACCATCATGTTTTTGATAAAAATTGAGCCCCAGACAACGATATTAGTTTTCGTCTATCTCCTATAGAAAAGGGTGTTTCCCTTTAAAAGCGTCGAATTTGACCCACCCTGTACAGGGTGTCCGAATACATGAACATAGAACTAATACGTATTTTTCGAGTCAAAATAAGTTCATTCGGCACAATTACGATATTTTCAGCGCTCTCTGTAACTCCTTGCTTTTCAGTCTGCTGATAAAGCACTGAGCAGCGACCTTTGATACAAACCGTTCCGGTGCTTCTGGATACGCCAGCTGTACCAACCGACGTAAGTCTGCTTCGAATTCCTCGAGGGGCAAACCCCTGGTGGTATTTATTGTACAAGCACTTGGTAATACTGGTATTTTTTTGGTACTTTTGGTACTAATTAGGTATTTTTGGTACTAATTTGGTATTATTTGGTAATAAACTGGTATTATTTGGTAATAAACTGGTTTTATTTGGTTTTAAACAGGTATTTTGTTGGACATCTGGCAACGGTGGATGTGGATTAGACGCACGTGGCGACGACTGCCGGGAAGCTGATTGCATCATTTCTAGCTTCTAGCCTAGCTTATTTGCATTGAAAATGAGCCGCCTTCGCGCTTTTCTTTTTTATTTTATATGAAGTATTTTAAAGTTTTTGTATTTAGTGTCCAAGGTAAGTACCTACTTATCGTAATATACATACTTATAATTACTTGTGTTTAGAGGTTAGGTTGCTGGCCTATTTGAAAAATAGGTTATTTTTACCCGATATTAATTGCCAAACTTGCAATTTTTCAATGCATAAAAATGGGTTTTACGCAAAAACGGTACATAGTGTCATACGAAAAATGTCAAGAACTTAAAGAACTCGCATCATGGAAACATAATATGGATCTCGTTAGAATATCTTATTTTTCTTGTGCATATAATTATATTTTTGAGCTTATAAGTAACAAATAGAGCAAATAACAAAAAATTCAATTACTTTTTATGTCTAGTTTTTATTTTATAAATTTTTGAAGTATCGATGTTAATGGAACCTTTAAAATGACTTTTTAAACCGTACTTTTTTGGAACTCGAATTAAGTTTATGTTTTTCTGACCCAATTATCATAGTTTGACATGAATAGGCCCTAAAGCTCCAAATATCTTAAATTCATTAGATACTAAAAAGAATAATACTAATTTGGTATTTTTGGTTCTAATTTGATATTTTTGGTACCTTTTTCCCAAAATTGGTGTTTATTCTACACCATTTTTGGCAGCGGTTTGCCCCTCTGAATTCCTGCATACTCTCTTCGGATCTCTGCAGACCTGCTTTGATCTGCGCCTGGTAAAGTTGGCAACGATGTTGGTAGCCATATTTTCGGTCTAGTAGGTACACCAGGTACACCAATCAAAGTTTCGTAGTCCTGCTGTTGGGCTGCAGTGCCAATTTTTTTTCTAAGGTTGAATGAAGGTAGAATGTAGAATGTTTAGGAGGGGAGTTAATCACCGCGACCGTACATATCTATTGTGTGTTCCCCTTTCTTGAGTTATAACGAATTAGAACTCATCATACAGTCTCAG